AGAATGATACGCGAGCAGAGGCGTAGCTAACGCCATACATGCCGTATCAATTATACGGGCTCCCGGGCCACTGGGGCCCCCAACGTGCGTAAGAAAAAAATTATAAAATTTCCCAAATTTATTTTTATTTCAGTAATGACAAAAGTTAAAAAAGCAATTTCTTTTCCCACGTAGAGCGTGCGTTTCAAAGTTGTCAACACCCTACAACCGATTTCGCGGGCTGCGGTATATCTCCGTTTAAGTCAGACTTTAACGGGGGAATCCCATAATAATCGATGTATATATTATTAAAATTTGTAGTTTATACAATTCTTTTTTTCTCATGTGAAAAATCTTTACCCTACATAAGGGCCCCCAAACAAATTTTATACGGGGCCCCGCTAAGAAACGCAACGCCACTGTACGCGAGGCTCTTGAAATGAAAAAAAAACCGAATTTTAATAGAGATGAAGGTTGGCATATACCACCGACTTGGGATCCAGTAATTAGTCAAAATATGTAAGTCAAATGTTTTTAAAATAATTTAATAAATGTAACATTGCCATAATATATAAAATTTTTGTATTGTGAATGTGTCCAATAGTATTATTTTCTTGAAGGTAGCTATTCGTTTAATTAAAAAGACAATTAACACCTCAGTCTAAATACAAACGCGATGAAACCCTTTAAAGGTAGTTTCATTTATTTTGTATACCTTTAAAGGGTTTCATCGCCTTTGGTAATTGATCTTGAAGATCTCCTTAGCCGAGTGGCTCGCCTGTGTCAAGGTGTCGCCATATCTGAGGTCCCGGGTTCAATTCCCGGTACTAGAAAAGTATTTTTTCCATCTCTTCTCGGGTCTGTGTGGTGGCACTTTTGTTGTCTGAGATACTATTTAATACGAATGCGTAAGCTATTCATCTTGGAATATGACCAATGCATGTGACATGTATAATATCTGTTTATCTATTAATTGTTATGTTAACATATGTCTTTTTCTGTACAGACTCGACAAACAAGCAATAGTGGCGGGGAACCAGGTCCTCCCGACGATTCTTCCCGACCAGGGAGTAAAGAACCGCCTTCCCTCGCCATAAGCCCTTCTGAAAGGTAAGTAATTGCACTTCATCATCTGAGACTTGCGACGCCCACTGTTAGGCATAAGCCTCTCCCATGAAGCTCCACGACGATAAGTCCGGTGAGCGTATCCAACGGCTTTCCCCAAAGTTTATCAGATCTGTGCCGGCGGTCCATTCGTTTCACAAATAATTCTTCTTGTTAAATGTCCCGCTCAAAATAGTTCAGTAGTATTCTGTTATAATAACAGACTCGAACTCGACGTTGAGCGCAGCGCTGTCATAGCACAGAGGTTCAATCAAATAAATCATATTTAAAATGGTGGTGAAGTTTTCAAAGATTTATTGTGAGTTAATTGCATGCGCTCTTATTAACGTTGTTTGAAACTTACGGTAGTTTCAAACATTTCGGTTTGCAAAGATTTTTACGCAGCTGTCTCAGCTTAATGTCTGAAATATCGTTTTTCATCAATCCAACGGTAGGTACTTGTCGGATTTAGTCACTTCTTATCTATTCGAGAAAGATTACCAACTCGTATCTAATGGCTTGGTATTGGAGACTATTATTTTAAACACACTTTGCTCTTGTTATAAATAAAGTACCATTTTATTACTTTGTAAGAATATTCAAAGGATTTTATATCCTATATCATTAAAATCGATAAGTACGCAGTTTCTATTTTTGTTGAAAGATCAGATACAGTGAGTGTTGTATGTCGAGAATAGGTGCGAGTTAGTGGTGAAATAGTGAACAGTGGTACCGGTTATAATTATAATGAACGAAAAAGGATTAGAAGCAAGGTTCATTTATATATATATATATATATATATATATATATATATATATATATATATATTTGCCTATGACACCCACCCGCAAAAACGTCAGTTAGCTCGTGATCTAGCGCTTGCAACAGCGTCGAATTATCGGGAACTCAATAAAAACAATGTAATGGTTACAATCCCGTAAAAAACTATCATCCTAATATTATAATATACTTGAGGATTAGTAATCTTCATATATGTGAATTTACCGTTTATTATTTAATGATATTTTTCCTTTACAACACTGAAATAAACAATACCGAGCTTTTAGAATGTACCGGAACTGCTCAATTTATGTTGAATTATTTTATTTTTATTTTTAGCCGTCTTATATTCATAGGAAACCCTTTCAAAGAGCCTTGAGTTTATACAGCGAATTGCCTATGAATAAATCAACCAATCTCGCCTACCCTAAATCAGAATCTGAATTTTTCACATTTGCATATAGTTTTCTTTCGATATTCACAAAATATTTCTGTTGTTTTCCGTTTTTTTACCTAGTCTAGAAACAGAACACCGTCCTGTGTCTGAATTGGGAAAAGCACAAAATCTTAACTAATTATTCTCAATAACTTATGTTATTTACGTTTTACGAGTCAAAAAGTCCTAATTTTATAAAACTGCTATCAACTGATTGAAAATACTGAATCCAAAAAAACTAATTTCAATTCTCATTTTAGAAACCGGGTGTCTGGGGCGCGACCGCCTGACTCATGGATTTAGCCGAGTCGTAGCCATAACCTACGCTTTATAGGTTTTACAAATGAATCTGTTGATATTGTTTTGGCTACTTCCATGAGTTAGGCGGTCGCACCCCTGGTTAATAAAAGGTACAAAGCAAAATTTGTAAAATATATGTATTTGATTTTTGCGCACACTTAAAGTTCTATTTATAATTATCTTGTACAATCAAAGACAAACCTATATGTATAGAAAAGTACTTAAAAAATTCATCGGATTCCCGTGTTCGACACAAGAATCGAACCCGAAACAATACCTTTGTAGGACGACTGCTCTAACAAATTGAGTTATGATACTTATATTAACTGATGACATTTGGCTAATGAACAGTTTATATTTTGGAAAATATTGAGAGCAAAATGACGAATTTTTTACACAACAATAAACGGTTTTTTGATTAAAATGCTGTCTAATTTTGTTCAACAAGTATATAAACAGTTAACGATGAATTAAACAAAATCCTATTTTATCTGCCATAACATTAAATTAGTACGTGCACAGTGACATCTTTTATATTAGAGGCTATTAATTCCGTAAAGGGGCTTTGATGTAAGCTTTTGAAATGGTGATAGTGACAGGGTTGCCAAAAGTACCTATTTACTATACGTGTATTGTACACTAAGCAGCAGAATATTTTGAAATTATTTTTTTTCATAGTCATACTCTCAATTTTTTTAAGTATTAATAATTTTTTTAAAATGGTTATAAAGTTCTATTTCTATTTAAAAATATAATTCAGTAAGCACAAACCATTTGGGGAACTCGTTAGTATTAGCTCGATTTCTATTCCTTTGTTATTCCATTCAAAAGGGATTATAGAAATTGGTTATTTTATTGGTTTTATTTGCTTGTTTATGTTTTAATATTAGATATGTTTTGTGTATTTTGATTGTACGTTTCGTGAAAAATTAATCACTCTAATATTGCTTAAAAATCTACTTTGTCCCTGGCACTCTGAGATGGGAATGAGAAATATTGCTCAGTGTAGCATTGCAAAATTGATCAAATATTATAAAAACGAGTGTTAATTAGTATTAAAATATTTTTTTTGGTATTTGGCAACCCTTCAACAAACAACAAGAGAAATCTTTGGAATTTTCAGCGCGTTAAATCGGAAATTCGCAAGTAGCGTCATGTATTCCAGCGTTGCGCGTTTGATCGATTAAATCCGATAATGTATCGATATGTTTATTTAAATCCTTCTTTTTATTTAGATATTTGAATAACATCTTTTACCCACTCATCCATTATTTTTAAAAGTAGAATCTTTCACTTTTAATATTTGCAGTCTTCCAACCTGCATTGGGATAGCGTCATGACACATCTTACCTACAGTAGGGACATAGTTTCAGGGTTTAGTCACAATAGGAAATATGCACATTCTTTGAATATACCAAAAACAAATGATAAAACTATGTATCAAGTACGAGCACTTTATGCGAGCTTGTCGTGACTTCGTTGCTTCTTTGTCTAAGTACTAGGGTTATAATATAATCACTAATCAAGACTTCTTAAACGCAAAATAGATTTTTTAATCAACATTTTTTTAGCTTTGCAATTGAATCCTAAAACTGCATTTAAATCATAATCTGTTGCTTATTTTGTTACATAAAACATCGATGTTAAATTTTTATAGGTTCTGCTCACAAAATTATCAGAAATCTTATCATCATAATATTTGTGTACAAGATAAATATATGGATCATAATATAAGTTTGGGATAATTTCAATCTTCAAACTCATGTATTCATGTCTTATTTGAATTAATATTCGTATGCTACTTTTAATGTTTCTGTGAGAAGTGAGTTTGTTGGATATAGCTATTTTATAAAGTAAGTAAATATTTATTATTTGCTCTCCGCCAGCGGCTTTGCTCGCGTGATTTTGTTGTATACATATAAACGTTCCAGTTGAATTACTCTGTACATTGATGAAAAATTACGTTAAAATCCATTATGTAGTTTAAAAGATCTCAGCGCACTGACGCGGGAAGCGACTTTTCCGTAGTAAGGAACACTTATAGCATCGCCAATTTTTGTTTCGTCTTCCCCATAGTGTGGTTCGTCGTTGGATAGGTCTCCCAAAAACATTGGGTGTATGGGAATGTCGTTTTTCAATTTAATAAACCATTTGTGACTTATTAAGCGCTGTAGAGCTAATTTTCGTTAGAGTCAAAATAAAAAATAGAAATTCAAACTTTACGGCAGTACCTAAGCATAATGAACTTAAAAGGAAAACTATCACACTGGAGTTGGCTTTTTAAGTTTACGAGTGATAGTCGACCAATTGTATTTAACTAGAAAATTTCAAACAACTCTTAAAAAACGACTTTTTTTTACTTTTTTAATGGATAATGGTACAGAATCCTTCGTACGAGTCCGGCTCTCACTTGACCGGTTAGTTTATATTAAATCATGACAACGTTAGCGCTCCTTGACTTTTGCACAAGTGATTCTTCTTGCTCCTCCCTAGAACCGCCCCTGATCTCCATTTCATAAAATTGCATATCAGTTCAATGGAAAACCAGAAAGTGAGTCAAAATCTTGTTTCTTCCATGTTAAAAAAGTTTTTAATTTGTTTGTGTTTTAATATTCTATGTTTACCAGTATAATGTTGGGGCGTTTTTCGCCTAGCTCCAAAGCGTGCAGCCAACGGCAGGTGTCGTTCCTGAAGCCGGCAGCGGACACTGCCCTCGACAGGAAGGCTTCAATTGTGGACGAGACCACCGGCATTACCAGAACACAGATGAAAGGTGAGTTCGTACCTAAAATTATCTAAACACGTAACTAAAAAACGAATAACAAGAACTATCGAATTCTTTGTGTAGAAAAAAATAGACAACATCACATTATACATTGCTCATATCCCAAATTAAGTGGTGTTTAGAACTTTTATTATGGAAAATAGAAACAATTAATGATACCACACCATACCAGACAGAAATTGAATTTCTAACTTGTTAAGTTTCTTTTTACTACATTGATCGATATTCCGCCATTCAGCCACGTTACGTGGCGTGGATTCGTTACGTAGACTCGTTATACTTGAGTCTAGTCGGATTTTTACCATATCCAATGTTTAAGAACATTATTACAAATGCAAACAATCAATGATTAAGCGCAATATACTTTCGTTTGTAATATCATAAACACACAATATCGTCAAGCATATTTGAGTGACATCATGTTCTAAGTGTGTAGAAGATAATATCACCAATCACTGTAGAGATATTTTTTTTATTTAGAACTTCCAAATATTGAGTAGTAGATAACACAAATCTGAAGGCTAAAGAAATATGAACAATTAATAAACAGAATTTTCTAGACCGTATTAAAAAAAATAACATATATTGAGTATTTGTACGTAATAAAATCAACAGACACCTTAACAGCCAGTTGCCGCTGTCCATAAAAAATCTCATTAGATTAAAGTGATATTACCCATACAATTTTGACATTCACTAGACTCTTGTGCTCTAGTGATTTGAGCATAAAAGCGTCATTCAAACTTAATGGACGTTTGTGCAAATAACCGATTGCTTGTATAAGGTAAGCTACTCTACCTTAGTAAGGTAAGTTTTAAAAATTAAACATTTAAATTAGTTTTAGCATTAAGTATCAGTGAATTCGAGTAAAGAAAATTTTGACTGGGAAGATTATTTAGGTCAAAGATTTTATAAAATGTGAACATAAGTAGGTACACTCTTCTGACATTAATAGGTATTATACGCTCTGCTTTTATGTCGTGAAACGTTATCAACTAAAATTTTTCAGTCGTTGAAATTATTCAAACGGGTACCGGTATGATAAAAAGTATCATTCCTTTGCCTCACGCTTATTATTATGCTGAGCATGATGCTCTTATCTACATACCTTTCATCGAGGACTTTGATAGCGAAGTGGTAGCGCGTTCGGTCTGCAACGTGAAAGTTATGTAACTTTCGCTATAGTCGGTCATAGGATGGGTGAACAAAATTTTATTAACTCTAGCTTCTCGATGGTTCGGAAGGCACGATTGGCACTAGGGTTGAGTCTTACAAGTGAAAATACAGGTTTCTGTTATATGTTCGGAAAATATGGTAATTATTTAAGGCACTAATTTGGAAAATATTACGCTATGGTAACTTGAAAAAAGTAGGGGTAAAATATTACAATAATTTGCTAAAATACATATGTCGATAAATTAGTTACATAAAACGTAACAACTTTTATTACAACAGCTATAAAGATAAACGCACAAATAACAAAGATATTACAAAGATTGCCTGTACGTTTTTCGCGTACCGTAGCACTGTGTGGCATCATTAAGTGCCTTGAATTTGTAGGGAGTGTTTTCGGCCGATTAGCAGCAGTTCTACAAAATCGTATCTCCGAAACTATTAATCGCAGACATGCTATTTATTTATACATACAGACATACTATTTATTTATAAAATAAAATTGTCGACTAGCGAAAGGGAAAATTCCCTATTCAATTCCACATCCATAGGGACGGAAATGTCCCAGCAGTGAGGACAACAATAGGTTGGTAATTATGATGATGAAACTTAATATACTTAATTCAGAAAACTAATCCAATTAATTCCTTAGCATTAAGCATCTATCAATCCAATCGACACTATACTCGCATTGTGGATTATGTCCTCAACTACCCGCCCTTGCATATTAATAAATAAGCAGTTGGCTGAAGATGATACGGATTCGTTAAGCTTTTTAATAATAGAGGACTAACTGTGAGTTTTTGAGATTTTACGTTCACCTTCGTGAGCGCGTCAAGATTGTAGTGTGGTGACCGGCAATGCGCCCTATATGCTACTACAAATCTGTATACAATTTTTTACACTCGTTAGTGAACGCATTAACATGAGTCTACGGGTGGACTGGTGATTTTTTGTCAAAGTACCTTATTATTTTTTTTACTATGCTTCTGTAATTTCTATGGAAGTCATCTTTTGCCAGTGCATGAGAATGCGCGCAGGGTTACTTACCATATTTATTATTATTATTACCAACGCAATATATGTAACAAATTATTGTATTCCATAGAATTCCGCGAGGCATTCCGTCTGTTCGACAAGGATGGAGATGGGACAATCACTAAAGAGGAGTTGGGTCGCGTGATGCGCAGCCTGGGCCAGTTCGCGCGAGTGGAGGAACTGCAGGACATGTTGCAAGAAGTGGATAGCGATGGTAAAACATATAAGCACATATTTCCACAAATGACATCGTATATTTTTTTACCTGATGCCGGATGAACCCATAAGCAAAATCAGCAGTTGTTTAAGGCGTCACGGAAACATACGGACCATAAAAATACTAGCACAAATGTAAGATTTTTTGTAAATTCTGAAGTTTACTATTATATTTGATCAATTTTGCGTTCACAATGCTATTCTGAAAATTATTCATAATGAAAAATACCCAAAAAATCCACCTTGTCCCTGGCACTCTGAGATGAGCGACTGCTTTAACCACTAAGTTACCCAGGACCTAACAGCACTGACCAATTTTTCAAGCACTTGTTACTTTTCGTTTTTAGCATTCGCCTGGAGTGCGAAAGGAGCACTCTGTCGCCTGCCGTGTCCGTCTCATGTCGTTTATAGACTTAAATAAACTCGCAGGTGATGGAAACGTCAGTTTCGAGGAGTTCGTGAGCATCCTATCTAAGTCTATGTCGGGCGTCGGCGGCGGCACCAGCTCGGCGGAGCAGGAGGAGCGCGAGCTGAGGGACGCATTCAGAGTATTCGACAAACATAACAGGGGTTACATATGCGCGTCAGACCTGAGGGCGGTGCTGCAATGTCTCGGGGAAGACCTGTCTGAAGAAGAGAGTAAGTATCCAATGTATCACACAACCTTTGAAGCACGGATGTGTGTGGTCGGAGAACAAAGTTTTTACATTTCCCCTGAGTTATCAAAAAAGGGTCTAGCCTGTTACAGCTGTAAATTGATTACTCAACTATTCAACTGTAAACTTGTTGTACACTGATTACTCAATTAAGTACTGTCAAAGCGGGTATTAAGTAGTTAAATGGTCGGTTGCACAAACGTCCATTACGATTTAATGTCGCTTTTAAGCTCTAATGAATGTCACATATGTATGGGTAATGTCGCTTTAATATAATGATAATTTTAATAAACGTTTGTGCGACAGGCTGTTAATGTATGAAATACTTATACATAATAGTTTTGTTATATTGTTTTCATTAGTTGAAGACATGATAAAAGAAGTGGACTCAGATGGCGATGGAAGGATTGATTTCTTAGGTGAGTGACATATTTTGAAATACCAACTGAAGATGTAAAATTACTATCGGAATATTGCGGCTAGAGAATGTTAAAACAATGACAATAATAACTCAAATTATTAATTATAAAATACATACTCATGGAACATAGAATAGAACTTTTCGATTTCGAAGTCTGTTAAAAATATAGCGATCTACTAAAATTAACGAAGGCAATATTATTCTTGTTATAGAATTTGTAAGAGCTTTGGGAGAGCCTGAAGACGCGTGTGACGACGAAGACGACGAGGATGCAACTGAAGGCACAGAGATACCACTCCCACGGCCGGTAGCCGCTAACTAAAAACGTAGATGAGCTTTATCTGCTATTACAAATAACGTTGGCTTTTGTTTGCAGTGGTCAAAGTAACACTGTGATGGTCAAATAAGCAGCGTAGTGTGGAGTTATCTAGACGTGGGCGACAACGCAACATTGACGCCTTTTTCTTTCAGTACCTATGTTCCCAAAATCGATTCCGTGATAAATTCTATTATATTTTATATAGATAAATTATTTGACTAGGAAAAACGTTTGAAAAATCCACTTACAAGATGTTTATCACTATAGCATTGTGGATCCGAACTGATAAAATTGATAATACCTGTCTGAGAAACTCAGAACCTTTAAAGATCTCGCAAGGCATCTTTAGTGACGAGGATCAACCTCACTTGGCTACGCGAGTGGTTGAAACCAAGCAGATTAATGTCAATGGTTGTAGGCCGGTGGTATTCCTGTGAATCTTAATTGCGATCCAAAAGTCGTTGCTAAAGAGAGACACAACTATACAAATATATAGCGTCATCCCGCTTCGACAACTACATTTGAATCACGTTAAGCCGCGGACCCACCGCAGCGAATGCTGTGTGTTCATTTGTTTGAAAACGTTGGTCAACGTTTTCACTGCAGCACACATTATACACGAATATTAATACAGGTATATCGCAGTACAGTTTTGAATGATATTTCTTGTGGAACTACCTACCACCTGGTCCCGTTTCCGTGTATCGAATCGCCAGCGCTGAGTTATTCGCTGAGCTGCATGCATATTCGCGCACGATACGCGTATCAATTTGATGTGTAACACAAGTCCACGGTCTGAATGCTTGAATGTGAGAAATAATTAAAACCTCGCGCCCTTCGCAGCTATACTATAGTCGATTCACCATAGACAAATAATAATTTTAAAATGGCGACAGAATTTTTATAATCGATAATCAAAAGTTAACTGCTATTGTTTTAACTGGGACTTAATTGCAACATTAGACACATCTCAAACAGCTCGAAGGACCATATTACCTTGGGTTGCGTTAGTAGAAATTTAAATTGGCTAAAGGTTATGCCAAGGATAATTACTAATGGGGTTAATATGACAGTTCAGTGATATTAATAATTTTCTAAAAATTTACATAATTTTTACTTTTCAAATGCGAATATTATTACTAATATCCAATTAATAAACATATAGCTTTTGGTGGTTTAAAAACACGGGTTTAGACTAGACTTATTTATATATAGTAGAAAAAGTTTTAATATGCGAATAATACAGACATAAATTTCGATATACTTTTACTAAAGCTTCAGTCTTGTATTTAGATGCAAAATTAAATAAATTTCATAAAGCTTTTAGCTTCATGTATTTGTGACTAAGATTAAAATATTGTATCTTTATAAATGGAGTGAGACAATGCAACGTATTAAATGCTAATTTATTGTAATGCTACATTAATAAATGTAAATAATTAAGATGCCTAATTTTTAAGTAATAGACTATTATTTCTGGAAACAAAATGTTTTTTAAGTACAGTCACTAGTGGCGTAACTACAGGGTGGCAAGTCGGCAAAATGCCACGGGCCCCCAGCTGGAAGGGGCCCCCGGTCAGAAGACTCCTTACACCCGACATTTATTATTACGCAATTAGTAAAAAAAATGAATATCCAATGTTTTTGCCACGGGCCTCAAACGGTATAGTTACGCCACTGACAGTCATATATAAATAATATGAACATATCTTTAATGATTACACTTTCGGTATTGGTTAACATTACTGTAAAAATTATAAGGAAAACTGAAACTATACATGTCGATATTGTTTAAGTAATTTTCACAATTGTGACTGTACAAGCCAGTACAATCTAACGTTTAACTGTCATTTTACCTAAGGCTACGTACGCAGTGGCGACTTTTTGTAAACATGAGTCCTTTGTCGCCTGTCGCCGTGCTTGAGAATCATGTGAAAACTAAGCAGCTTCGATACTTATGATGATATCAGAATTAAAAACTCACGAAAACATCAGTGCGTGATTTTTGTCATCGTGATTCATTATTGCGATAGATTAGTTTTAAGAATTTTTATCCTATTAGCAGGCAGTTTCGGGCTTCTGCAATCTTTCAACACATATCTATTACAGAGAATTTGTAACTCAATTTTTTATATCTAATTATTCATTATAATAACTTCCGCTATTTTTAATGGAGCATGATTAGTTCATATTTTTATCTCGATGTTGTAAAACAGACCAATATACAAAATAAATTTTAATCAATTCATAAACGGTATTTTTATTTCAAATGGTACCAATGTGAACTAATAAATTTGCTACTACAGGAGTTAGGGTAGTTTATTTGAAAAGAAACGCGCGTAGCTCAAACCATAGAGTATGTTTTTTGACATTGTAAAGACCTCGCTGTCAGAGTATCGCTGTACAATGTTATACCTATAAATTATTTTCAAATGAACGAATTTTCTGCTTACCTTGGGGTATCTAAGATTCTTTAAAACAATTATGAATTTGGGTCAATTCAAAATAAAACGGGTAGAAAGAACAGCTAATTCAGAGGTCAGTGTTTATCGGTATGCTCGATATTTTTAATAAATTGGTTAATTATTTATGATTTAAGTTCTCGGTCGTAGTAAACAGATTTTGACAGGATCTTTTTGCCTTTCGCGCCAGTGAACATATAAAATTGGTTCTCATTGACTAGTAAAATGTCAATAATCCTATCGATGAAGATAAATCGAGAACTCAAGAGTTAATGGTCACTGACTAGTAAAATGTCAATAACCTATCGATGAAGATAAATCGAGAACTCAAGAGTTAATGGTGCGCCAATTCGATCTAACGCAGAGACTGAAGTACTAAAACTCTGTGGTCACTTAGATTGCGATAATGATGTAATAAAATGAACTTTAGGAAAAAACTTCAGCAAAAACAGGACGCTTAGTTTAAGTTTTTCGTTTACGTTCACCGTCGACCGTGAGTGTGTTAAGGTTTTAATGTGGAAACCACCACAGCGCCCTTAGCGGTAACTACCAAGAACTACATATCGCCATACAAATTCGCAACGCGCTCACTAGTGAACGCGTTTTCGTAAAACTGACCACTCTGATCTTTTTGTACTTATTTATATACGTACACTAGTGGCCGCCAGCGACTTCGTCCGCGTTTTCCATTATTTCTTTGCTCCTAATAGATGCAGCGTGATGTTATATAGCCTAAAGCCTTCCTCGATAAATGGTCTATTCAACACAAAAAGAATTTTTCAATTCGAACCAGTAGTTCCTCAGATTAGAGCGTTCAAACAAACAAACTCTTCAGCTTTATAATATTAGTATAGTTTTTGTTACTACATCGATGTTTATGTCAGTAACTTAATCAAAGACTACAGTGTTACTTACTGAGGAAGTATTTTAAGAAAAAAAGAAAGCACTAAAAAGCACCTCACTAGATGGCGGCTCTAGAAAATTTGTATTTGCAGGAAACGAATGGACCAAAGACAGTCATTTCTGTTCCTTTTAACTATCATATTAATAAAACTGAAATTTGCAAAGTTCGAAACTTAGATATCAATACAAATACGAAATAGTACAAATAGAATATGAGTTGTTTATTGATTTTTGGTAATTAATTTACTTTTTTACATAACAGAAAACCGGAAGGGTATAATAGAGAAATCAAGAAAGTACCGTAGCGACATCTAGTTTGATTTCGGGAACCACTGTTTTTTTATAGTTCATTCTTCTTCTTATTTTTAATTATTGGCGTTTCCCTTCTGGATTTCGCCAGATAATACTTCATTATCGAGTGCGAATGGAATAGCAACATTACCATGGTTAGAATCAAACGTCAAATGCAAAAAATAAGTAATATATTGGGTAAATTTATTGAAAAATAGTAGAAAAACATTATTCTTCTTTTACCTCGGGGAAATAGGTAATACTTATTAAATGCCAAACACGCGGACCCGGGTCCTGTGCAGGTTGGTCGATAGATTATTTTCATTTCAGATAAAAAAAAAAAAAAAAAAACTTTTCTGTTACATCATACAAGTTTATTAACTTTTTTATATATATATTTCAAATATATAGAATAGATACAATGTACATTTTAATATAATGGAAGTACATGGGTAATATGTTTGGATAAAAAATGATTTACTTTTTTCTTTTCTATTCAACACATAAAACTAGACGTTAAAAATGGCACCGGCATAATATAACATGAGTGTACAGTGAACATCGCATACAGTTGTCAGAATCCGTAAAAATTTTCTGTTCCATTTTAAGATTTATTACATTGCTTAATAGGTTTAAAAGTCCATTATGGTAAGAATCATGTCCAATTTTGACCTAAAAATTTACTAACGCGTGCTTGTTTTTTACTTATTTTGTATGAGGAAATTAAATCTTAAAATAAAGTCAGAATAAAAATTGCGTGGCTTATAATTCGACTCCTATGACAACTACCCGAGCCGAGAAAGTTGTTTTTATCAATGAATATATATTTTTTATTAAATGCTTTCGATCAATTCTATAATTTTTTTTAATAACTTTATTTTTGAATTAGAATTTTGTTCACAGAATTATTTAATCATACCACAACAGAAAATGAAAAGAAACAAAATAATAGATCAAATACATAATTATATTAAACTAATATCAAATACAAACATGTTCATTGATAAAAACAGACTTTAAGATTTAAAACAAAACAGTCTCGAATACTTCCATATATGACTTGATCCAGTGATATCGGCAAGCGACTGCTTCTCTAACTGACCTATTGTTGAGTTGAATTTTCTTTTTGTACTTTAAATAGTACTTTCATGTTAAGGACGTAAATAGTAGTTTATGTCCTTAACATGAAAATTATCAAGTAAATATGTAAGATATATATTTTCTTATTGATTTTAACAGCGCCACCTAACCTTCATAGAGTGAACTAAAACATCTAGTACAATAATTTCGTAATAAGGCGCATAACTCACTGCAATTAGACTAAATATGTAAAATATAGCCTTCTAATACAAACACACAAATTAGCAGCCTGGAAACGCGAGCCGCAATGTATTCGGTTATGCATTTTCAGCTACATATACCTAAACCGCGTGCGTTTAAACTATACTCTGTGTTTAAACGCAGTGCGATATTTGAACTCTCTTTTTAGCATAACAGCGTTACCCTCTAGGAATTCGAAAATAATTTTTGGTTCATTGTCTCTACAATAAGATCAAAGTTATACATAGACTGTATTTTAATGCTTGCATGGTAACTAAGTGTTTACGAGAAAATTTTACAAATTCGTTTCCATAATTAATATAACTAACAGACTAATAAAATAAAAAAACTATCTAAAAATAATTAATTCATCCAACAACCCTTTACTTTAATACTTAATAAAACATCTAAACACTTTTATTTCTTATATGTATATTGAGAATGCAGCTTTGATACCAGCACATAAGAGCCAAGTCATTTAACTATTGAAATCTTCCAATTTTCATTCATATATTATGTGCAAGCGAAACTATACCAAAAAACCGACCCTAATAAGGATTTGTTTAGTAAGAAATTTTATTGAAACGCTATAATTACGTCGATTTCAAAAGCACACTTATTTTTTAGCCCAATTCAGTTATTGAAACTGGAAGACCTATTGCATGCTGTTATAGTATGGACATGCTTGAGACTATGGAATTTAAAAAAACATATACTGTTATGTATTGTAATAAAATAATCATATTAATTTCATTTAACAGTTAATACACATTTGTTCATGATATTATAATATTATTAAAACCGTATCCGTATACGTTTATCGTTATGTAAATGAGGAAACATTAAAAAATAACAAAGCACTAAAAAGCATGTCCACTAGATGGCGACTCTAGCAAAAGATTATTTTGCAGGAAACGAATGGACCAAAGATAGTAATTTCCGTTCCTTTTAACTAACATATTAAAAAACTGAAATAAGCAAAGTTCGAAATTAAGATATCAATACAAATGCGAAAAAGTACAAATAGAATATGAGTTGTATATTGAATTCTGAAAACGAATTTACTTTTATACATGAAAGAAAACCGGAAGGGTTGTCATGGAGAAACTAAGAAAGTACCGTACGGACATCTACTTTGATTTCGGGAACTATTTTTTTTTTTAATACTTCCTCATTCACATCCACATTAAGATATATGTTTATATTTGAGCTTATAACAAACATATAGGTATATTATTCTATACTACTTTTCTTACCTTTGATCTTTTTTATCCAGAAACGCTTATACATTACACATAGTTATTAGATATGTTCATTTCAAAGCGGGGGCACTAAATTACAATACATTTACGCAATATTCCACTAACAGTCAGTTCAAAACAAACTCCTACACTGAATTGACATGTTATAATAAGCATAATATATTAATTGATACCAAACATGCTATCTTCATATCTTCGCTTCTCATGTTGGATTGTTCCTGTATAATACATTCCATGTTTAGTATTTTTAATAAGGTAAAAAGGATAGTCATCATTGGTGTTTGAATATCGCGATTTTCTAAAGACAGAGCTAAGAAAGACAATGATTTTGGTCAGAATTCTAGGAAGAAGAATGAAGAGCCATATGCAGTGAACCGTACAGGAGAAAATCGTTTACGCTACCATTTCTGTCCTTTACGTTATTTATTTTAATAAGCTTCTCGAATAAATTTGTTCTTTAGAACATTTCATTTCGCTTATTCAAAGCGATAGTTATAAAATTAATAGAAAAATAGCATCAGCACCTCATAGTTGCCATAACCTCAATATCTACAATTTAAAGTGAATATCAAAAATTGTGCAGTAAATTTTGTTTACGCAATTCGTGAGGTATTGGCAAATGTTAGAATATTATTATTTGAATTAAAAAAAAGCCAAAAACATGTATAACTTCATGATTCATGCATTAATAGTTAATAAACGAACCATGTGCATTTTAATGGTGTTAGGAAAATGTGGACCTTCCCTTACTAGTACGAAATATATTCTTCACTATTGACTTAGTATATCGATACAATTCAAAATAATTGAGCTGCATTATCCGAATCTTAGTAATTGATTTCTAATCTAAACGATAATAGGAAACTTGGACAATAACAGTCACAATATAATAAACTGTTATGATTCAGTCTACAAAATAAGGACTTTTTCTATTAGACACTTTTTGGTGTTTTTTTTTCTAAATTGACACCTGTTTACCGGCTGCTGATATATTTGGGCTGCATATGTCCAGTCTCGCCAAGACCCCGAAGTACAACTTTGCCGTTAGGTAGTATAGATATCCAGGTGATGGAGCCATGGTTCAGGGATATCCGGAGCCAGCCTTCAGGTGGGAATTGCAGGGCTCTAGTGAAGAAAAATTATACGCACTATATTTCGGCGCACACCATTTATTTGGCCCGAACGGAATTTGGGGCCCAAGAAAAATTATTATTACAGATCATAGTCATATATTTTAACCAGTATGATGATTGATGGTACTGCTGTCAGGATAAATGTTTGCACATAATTTGAAGACTGAAAAATGACATTGGTTACTTTTTATCGAAAATAATGTCACACCCTTCCCTTCATTTAAAGAAAAAAGAAAAAACAAGCTAAGCTGCCGTTTCTTTTGGGAAATATTTCAATTACAGTTACACCTACCACCCATGAATAAACAAAACTAAAGAAATGTACTCACTTGCAAACAAAGAACCGGATCACGTTGGCGTGGCAAACGAGTAATGTGTAACTGTCCTTCGTCTGTTCCGGGGGTGCTCTGTGGAAGTAGCGGCGGAATGCCGCCTCTATCCGCGCGCCGTCCTGGAAGAACTGCTGCACGTACCACACCAGGTCGCATTACTATACTGACCAGTTATAAGTGGAACCATTTTGGGGTATAAGTGGAACATATTGGGGTAAAAGTGTAAATTTTTTGGGGTATAATTGGAACTTTTTGGGAATCTTTTTGTGGTGTAACTGGAAGATTGAATATTTGATTACGCATATCTTTATGCAATCTCTTTAAATATGATTCCTGATACTTTGTTTACAGTATATATTCTTCATTTACTAAATATCTACATGAGACACCATTAGATATTAACATTATTAACCAACATAACACACAACACTCAGATTGCAAGTTCTGTACCAAAAGCCCAGGTCTTTTATGGAAAAATAGACCCAAGAAAACATAAAAGAGATCTATTTCTATATATGGACTCGGCATTACATCAATTCAAGGGCCTCAGAGGTAGTGATGCAATAAGGTACAGGGGTTCTCATTGGGTTTTTAATTTGGATGAAATTATATATAATGCAATAACTAATCTTTATTACTAACTTATGATTGCTACTAAAAACTAATATGAAATATGTTACATTAGAAAATTTATAGAAATAATGCAGGATAATTGTAAGCAGGATGATAATAGAAATCTGGTCAGTAACAATGCACACATAAACATACATATTTACACACACTTTGAAATACAACCAAATCTTGAATAATTCACTTCACTTGGCCAACTTAGCTAAATCACAACTTGTTTGGCCTATACGCCTAAGCATGAATTCTAAATATTTACTCTAATACTCGTATCTTTAGTTGAGAAAAATAACTACTTGAGAAAATGGCATAACTTAAGCAGATATTTTTAACCAATAGATGAAAATTTGAATAAAATCAATAGTATTCTTACATTAACAATTCCTAGTTCATTAAAAATGTAAATTAAAAATGTTTATTTGCTTTTACTTGACTCTAAAATAGATACGAGTGTTAGTGTTGATAATTATTCTTAGTACACTATCTAGTAATGGTAGTATTAATTAATAGCAATGATAATTACCAGTTGGCAGTTTAGTAATATGAAATGCATTAAAATACTTTACAGTTGCTGAGATAATACCAGAGCGCCATAGTAGTGAAAACTGACAGAATCGAAATTTTAAACATGTAAGAGTTCATATAAAAATTACCTTATACTTTAAAAACCAAGGTTTTGCGTCTGTATTGTAGTTAAAGAGATATGCCATTTGGGTTAATAATATGAACTATCCAGTGTACTAACTGGAAGGTTGTCGATGCCCAGGTTTAAAAATGTAAGATTTAGGTAATTATCAGACAAAATCATTAGTTTTTTTTAATTTAGAATACAATAAATGAGACATGCAATTTCACTCACGAACGAAGTCTAATTGATTCTCTGTAGTTAAGTAAGCTTGCTTGGATTAATCCAATTATTTGGAGGCCAAATACAAATATTTAACAAATATAAATATTTGGCCTCCAAATACATTTTTCATCTCTGAACTAAAACTGATGAAGAGCAAAATGGTTATAAAAAAAATTTAAACATGATTAATAGTTTACTTACTCTTGGTTCGGGTCTCCAGTGTCCAGTGGGCGGTTCTGGGGGAATCGGTGCTCCTTCTTCTATCATTTGACAGTCTTTCACTTCTACATTTTTATCTAAATGCTTTTCAATTATTTTGGCAGTCTCTTGGGCACGTGTCATTGTGGACCTAACAACCAAGTCCCATTTGATGTCAAGGCACGCTAGTCGTTGACCTGTCAAATCGGCCTGTTGTCTGCCTGGAAGTTTTTGTATAAACATATTCATTATAGGTATATCCATAAAATGCTGTGTATATGAAAAGTATACATGGCTAATTTATTATTAGAGTGCACTATCTGGTGGCTACCAGAAAATTAGCAACTAGGAAGTTTAACTCTTGATGTTAAACATTGTGCAATATAACATTTTGGTAAATTATGAATATGAGTTGAACATCACAAAATCTTAATAAGTACAAAAAAACTAACTTATAATGAGAATGCTACATTATGTCTATAAGATGGGTCATTGTCAAATTTTGGGCAGGTAAACGTTATCTAAAATTTAAAAAATATGAAAAAACAAATATATGTGCACATTACTTTCTATTATGCACATGTCTGTTAAAATAACTTAGGTATGGTCTATTATATTCGGCCACGATGTCTAACCACGAATTTACAAGTTATTCTGGATTTAGTGGATCAGGGCGTAAATAAATACAACTCTGTTACTAATTAGGTTTTACTTTTTATTATTAAATTAAACAAGTCAGTTGCAATTATTTTGGTATTTATATTAATTACAGTTTTAAATCTTAAAATCACATTTAGAATCAAAGTTCTTTTTGAAAGTTTAATAACAATAAAGATAAACCTAAAACAACTCTGTTACTTTTTAAGTGTTAACATATCTTAAATTCTACCAAAACTCTCAAAATGAGTGTATATTAACAGCCAAGTATAATATATAATAGCATAAACTTGTGACAAATTAATGTATTGTGATATTGCACCATAAAACCTAATAATTTTACCTAAAGTCCCTTAGAAGGTTCTATAGAAATAGGGACAAAAAGTAACAGAGTTGTAACATATTAACATAGTTGCTTTTTTTTACTTAATCTAAATAAATTGCTTCTGGTTGAGCTTGAGATCAAAATATAACGCGAATAATGAATAATTACACAAATATGTTCCTCTTGCAGCAACAGTAGGATATACAACATAAAATGGTTTGTATCGTGTAAAAGTTTTGTAACCACATTTCAAGTCAGCATTTACTCTTTTAAAAAATGCATAAAGGTTCTTCATATTGTGAAGTAAGTATCGCTTTTGCTCTTTAACTTTCTTTAGAGAAATGGTCTCTTTCTTCCCAGCCGTTGCTCTTGATACGTCGTCACGTAAAAAAGAATGCCTTAACTTTAGTAATCAAATCTTTTTTTTTTTAATCAAGGAATGTTTTTTTCGCAAGTAACCCCGATCCACTGCAAGACATTCTTGAATGATTTCAGTTTTCTGTCTCGAGTACTTAACGACCTTTTCTTCAAATATTTTTTAAATAGCATATTTTTCCTTCCGATTTTTTACATTTTCATAGCGCTTCTTTATAGCGGACCTCTTTTTCTTTGCGTTGCTCTACTGCTATCCTTATTAATAGATGTTTTCCGTTTTTCTCTGTTATATCGTTTTTTTATATTTTTCGTATTTCTTGTTCACTGCCTTTAATTGTTCCTTTATCTTGGTATTATCTCTAAATAACTTAGATCTGTTTCTTTTTTCTTGCTTTCTGCCGCGAACAGCCGATGAAGCTAATGAGTTAGGAGTATTTTCTCGCGAAATAGACAGATGAGGTGTTGACAAACGACGATCTCTTGAAATAATTTGAGCAATTGGGGCTGGACTATATGAACGAGGCGGTGTAGACTCTGGAGTGTGCATAATAATCCGTAGTGCTCTCGCCTTATCTTTCCGTCTAGCGTTTGCAGATCGCCATTTTTTTTATAGCTCGATGTTCACGTGTTGTTAAATCGCATACTAAGCGTTTCTTTGCATGGTATCTTTCAAGGTCTTTACGTTTAGCTTCTAATACCTTTTCAGGATTATTTTGACGCCGTTCTCGATACCGCCGCTGCTTTTCTGCTGCTGTGAAAGGCATCTTGTCATCGAAGACATGCACAATGTCCTGTAACAATAGTTTTAGGCTTATTTAAAATTTTACGCGACTCATATATAAGTACCAAGATTATACCTTGCTTAAGAAAAGTAATTATTAAAAAAATATATTAAAGACAGTATACAATTTTAGCCAATAGTTGTTTTATACAGCTCTGTTACTTCCATAACAACTCTGTTGCCACACGCAAGTGACAGAGTTGTAGGTAACAGAGTTGTAAATTTTACATTCCATGAGACGCAACTAAAAAATATGGGTTTAAGAATACATTTTCATGCACATAGAGCATATTTACCCTATAGTTAATAAGCTGAATATAAAATAAAAAAACTGATTTACTTACGGAATAGCTGAGCAACAGAGTGGATACACAATAAAAACACGCAGCATGTTGAACGCCACGCGGCCGACTTAGGGGCGATGTATTCCACCCCCACTCAAACGGACAACCACAATGTTCGCTGACACCTCGCTCACGATAAAAGATAGATCAAAGTAACACCATCTCTAATTTGGCATGTGATTTACTTGGTAACATAGTTTTTCAGACGGTTCTCAGTAATACCGGGGACAAAACTTAGGCAATTTAAAAAAAATACATTTTCAATCTGATCGTCTTGAAAACACATTTCATAAATATTTATAATACTGCTGTTATTGTCATAATTTATTTAGATTGGGTTGATATATCAGAAATTGAAGTTTTTTCATCTTTACTGTAACAGAGTGCTGCTTGGGACAAGTAAAATATATAAGGAAAACCCCTCTGTTACCAAAAAATACCACTATGTTACGTCAAAACAAGGAAAAACATAAAAAACTAGGTATTTATTTTATTATAAAATGTTTAGTAATATGGTTAACTATGTATTCGATATGATTTTTTTCAAAGAATGTTGAATATTTCATTATTATTAAATAAAAAATGTCAAGGGACTAGTTTACCTGCCCAAAATTTGACAATGACCCAGATGATGCAGATTTGACTTCATTCACCTGATTGTTTATCTACTACATTGGTTCATTTCTAAACATTACCAAAAAAATTCATGTTCTAAATGTATAATTATACACACACAAAAGTAAGCACAGCTATTAAATAATATTTTTTTATGCGATTTAAGTGCAAGAATGTCACATAGTGTGGTCAAGCCAAAATAAATAAAGTAATGTCTATTCTCACCCAACTCAGTCAATGTTCTCTCTTTGTCTGTAGTTCCATCAACATTGTACTGGCCATGTCTGATCAAAAACAGATGTCGGACAGCTTTGCCCTTAGCGTTTTCCAATTTCTCATTATATTTATTATCATCTTCGGGATTAGCTGATTTTGATGGCTTCACTATACATTCAGGTTCACGGCTAAAAGTTTTAACAACTAATTATAACAATTAATTTTACTATTGTTAATGTAATTATAACAGTTTGGGGTTATAATTATCTTGCTAATTATAAAACACTACACAAACTCTTTTTATTCTTTATGACTTGTTATTAAAGGGATTCTTTAAACAATTATCAAAAGTTTTTTTCTGATGGAGGAGGATGAAGTCCGACAGACAGACAAAATTTCACATTGCTATGATAAAACTAATTGTATTTCTGAACTAGTTAAAATTAATTTTACATAGTTGTGAATACATAGATGTTGGAAAATTTTCTTTATTTTGCATTGTTTAGCTTACTTATGCATAAACATAAACTGAAGTTCAATAACATTTTGACCTAATTTTCAAAAGCTGGGTATTGACCTGACTTAACTAAAATAATACAAGTTAAGATTATTTTTAGTGATATGTAATGGAATTATTTTTGAGTAGGCTTCTATTTATTATTTTTGTTAAATGTGTCACATATAAAAGCCATTTTCAGAGCAATAGTCGATCACGTTGTTGTCTGTTGTTTTAAAGAAAGTGAAATACATAAATTTGTATACTTACTGATCCCAATTGTTGTCCCATTTTACACTAGGGGTATAATTTGTCGTCCACGAGTTTTGTACACCAAACTTTTTCTCTTTGCTACTGTTTAATTGATAATAGGCAAATCCACCACCAACCGCCCCTAAGCTAATAATAGCTATTTTATGAAATCTAGACAGTGTAGACATTACGTCTATTACAACTTCACTAAGATTCACTATTTTTAAAAGGTCCCAAACCTACTAATTTATTAAGTATTTATCAACTGTTACTAGGACAGTAAATTGATAACCTAAATATTTGCAAGCAAACATTTGGCAAACAAAACATAACCTCAAAATTAATATCACTCACTGTCAGTTACTCGTCGTCGTTGTGGCATAAAAGCAAAACGATTGAGCTTATACAGCCACATCAACGTATTAGGTTTTCAGTTTTATTATTTATTTATCCATATAAATAACTATATCTAATAATAACTGTAAATAACTCCAATGGGTTAGACGTTAATTAAACCATTGTACACAATACAAATTAAGAAGGAGAGTATGATACCCGTCGTTTTATAAAAATCTTTTATATTTTAAACTAAGTTTATTTTGTTTTACAATTAGTTTATTGTGTAGTAATATTAACTTCTATTAGGTAATAAAACAACAAATATCAATAGTTTTTGTATGTAATTTGGCGAGTAGGTATAAAATTAAATAAAATTAGACTCCCAAGCTCTTATACAACTGTGGTACATAATTATCGAATTGAGACCGATAAAAATTGCCAGCCACTGGTGTTCCAAGTTTATATTTCTCTGCAAACTTCTTTGTAGAAAAGGAGGCACGTCCGTTGATAGATCTAGAAAAAAAAAACATTATATAAAGTTAGACGATCTTTCTACTTGCTAGCGTCGACTGACTTCTGTATGTGTATTAGTATGTTTTAGACAAGCTGTATAGCTGTACTTTAAAATAGTTTATTCGCTAATTTTGTGTAATTTGTACAGTCATCATTTTGACCAATATTAGCTACATCTTATTTTTTGTCTATATTGTAGCGTTCTTCTGATTATCCAAATCACATAGGTCATTGTGTAACCCTAATTTATTATAAATTAAAAGCATGACTACTCTGACTAAGAACAAAAAATACAAATTTATATACAGAAATCTGGAATTAAACTTGATAAAACGATATGAAATTAACTTAATAAAGTGTTTTTTATAAGTGATAAGCAATGTTAACCCAACTCTACAGAAATACCTAATTATGTAGAGATGAATTAACAATGCTTATTTATTGTTTTTAGGCACTTGCTTAAAATATTTTAGAAAATCTAGATTTGAAAACCAATCAAACAGGCTTAAGTTCTAATGAATACTTTAAAAGACCAATAACTTTAATTAAAAAGGTTCTTAATAAATTTAAAGATAATGTATTTTTTACACCGGCCAATGCCAATTATTTTTGCGTGTTCATCTTTTTCGCTACAAAAAGAATAATATAATGAGAAAGTATTTGAAGTAAAAAAAAGAAGGACCTAAAAAGTGCCTCTCTAGATGGTGATTCTACCAAAAGTTGATTTTTGCAGGAAAGGAATGGACCAAAGATAGTAATTTCCATTCCTTTTAACTAACATATTAAAAAACTGAAATTTGCAAAGTTCGAAACTTAGATTTTAAAACAAATACAAAAAGGTACAAATAGTTGTTGTTTAGTTGTTAGAGTTGTTTATTGAGTTTTGAAAATTAATTTACTTTTATACATGAAAGAAAACTGTAAGGGTTGTCGTGAAATCAAGAAAGTACCGTAGCGAGATCTAGTTTGAATTCAGGATCAAAGTCAATCACAATTGTCGGAAGCAATGGATTCTATATCCATACCGCCATACTCACTTGTTGGTCAGTCTAGTCTCATCAAACTTGATTATGCTGGGTTGTTTATATAAGATATAGACATATCTGTGTATGCCAGTGCCCTCTGGCGGTCCAGAGCCTATGTAACCTGATAGAATTTCGCCCTCAGATACTTTATTGCCAGGAATGTTTCCCACCAACCAGTGGTGCCACTCACGGTATACCGATTCCGGCCCGTCGTAATTATCTGGATCTGGAATTAATAAAAATAAAATGAATGATTTCGTCGATTATATTACTGATATCATATTGCTACGTGGATTTGTAATTATAACTAATTTAATATTAGACAACAGATCTCAAAATAAGTTTGTAGTATTTAAACCTATATATTATGGAAGTCTAAAACAAATTTAAGTCACATCTATGTAGAAAATCTATGTACCGCCGTAATTTATCGATTATGCAAATAATAAAAAAAAAACTACTTGTTTAAGATTATAGACGGACATCCGTATTGTATAGATATTGTATATACCTGTGAATACGAGTGTGTAGTATGCGTCGGGGTCCGCTTTGTACGACACAGTGGGCTGATCCTTCACTTGTGTGGGAGTTAATTCGTTTCCTTGAGAAGCCACCACGCCACTAGGATACCTTAGCTATAATATATACAAATAAAATAATTAATTAAATCGATTAAAGAACTCTCGGAAGCATGTTTTTTACATTTTCTCTCCTCTACAAGCTTTGTAACATTGACATATTCAAAGATACAGGCCTGGAATCTTTCGCTGCCTTTATGGCCGCATAAATTAAAAAGAAATTACTTTCGTTAACATCTAGGTGTCCATCATATACACATTATATGATATATACTTATGCTGTACGAATAACAAAAAATAATAACTAAACAAAAATCACTTACGTCAATGCTAGCTTGAGGAGCCGTAGGTATGACATCTGGGACAATCTTACTTGCTTCGAACGCCTGTACTACCAGAGACATGACGGCTGTTTAGACAAAATGTCACCTTAGTTTGGATTCACATAGTACATAGGTTTAGATTCATTAAAGTACTTTTTTGATTCAAGCAAATGGCGTTGTGCATTATTCCTGCCACCTGTCGTCACGGCAAGGGGTGTGTATGCAGTTAGCCTCCACTAATGCAGTTATTCAGTGGGGTTAATCATGAACGGGGGCCTTCCCACTAAAAACCCTCGTATCCTCAGATGTGAGTATAACTACGGTGCCCTAAACATTAATTAATGTTCTTACAGAGGTATGATTCAAAGTCTTCTATACTCACTATCACTAGACAAGCTGTGCGATAGGACCTAACAAAATATAAATTGCTTCCAAGGTTCTATAGGTAGTTAGCGCAATTATGGAAAGCCAATAGCGCCTCAATTAGTACCCTTTATGACACAGATCTTGTTATTAGATCACAAAATAATAAATATATCTGTCACCATTTGATTTGTGAAAAAGATATTGCACTAATAATATTTTACTTTAGCTAGATAATATATGCAAATTGAGATGCGAATATTACGTAAAATTTTTGCAAAATAACATCAATATCCTATTTTCTGATTATCCCAAATGCTTGAACAAATTATTTTTTATCACAAGCATATTTCTGTACCAAGTTTTCATAACATTTTGTATAAAGTCACTTAAAGTATAACAGAGGGCCTACTCTGTCTGTCTTCGAATGAAAAATTCAAAAAAATTTAAATCGTCAAAATTACATGAATTTAGTTAAAATTTGAGATGCATCGAATAGTGGATTCGCCGAATAACCGAATGCCGAATATTATTCGGTTTAAGCACAACCGAACCGGATATTAGGTTTATCCATTCTTTTTTTTATTTGGCCAGAGTGTTTCTCAGTGTTCCTGATAGTATAGGGTGTGTATAGCGAACAATTATTTCGAAAGCAAGGAACTTCTCTCCTCTATCATGAAGAGGGCCCAGAGCTTGGCGTTTCTGCGCCATGATTTTAACATTAAATAAATATTGGAATATTTTATTCTTTTTCTTTAAATTCTGATATCTATTATATTTTTATAATGGCTCTCTGTCTGAATATATCTCTCTTATAGTGTCTATTAATGTCAAATCCTTAAGTGTTTAAAAAATAAATATTTATGATTTCATAGCATTTCTTTGACTTTTAATATATAATAAATCTTACAAAAAGAGTTTTGTCCTTTAGGTCTATACCTTGTTGTGTAAGAAAATACCTATAAATACTCGAACAAAACCGAATAATTCGGCGAATACAAATAGTCAAAAAGTTGCCTCTCGTAATATTCGGCGCATCTCTAATTAAAATCATATCCGTGAAGATTATCTGTGTATCAGAGGCAGTGTCGGTTTCTACCTCCGTTACATCTTAAAGCATGGAAAAATTGTTTTTTTTTTGGGAGTCACATTCACTTTTCGAAAATAGTCAAAATTTCGTTTGCGAACGATCAGAGTAGGTTTTCTGGAATTAGAGTCGGTGCAAATTTGATGGAAGATTCGTTAAACGTCTCGTTCTTCGTCTCATTAAAGCGTGCGTAAATACGCAAAATATCTTGCGTCAGATAAGTTGACCGACCCTTTTTTACCGACTAAATTACTTAAATTCAACTTACTTCTATTAAAGTAGTCTATCGAAATAATTATATAAAAATACCTTGTGTATGTACTGGCTCTGTGGTTACCGCAAACGACACTGAACGTCGTAAACTTGAAAGTTGCCTACACGAAGCGATAAAATGTATAATAAATAACAAATACAAATCAAAGGTCAATTTTAAAAACTTTTGTTGTTGATAGCATAGCTAAGTAGGTAATATAGCGAATAGATATCGGTATTTATTGGTAGGTACTCCAGTGGTAAAATTTGAGCGCAGTGCTGTCATAGCATAGAGGTTTAATCAAATAAATATATTAATAATGCGTTCGACGTCGTTTTGTAATAGAATAACGTAGCTGGGTGAATCAACTTTTAAGACACTCCTTTCTTGTCCGCGCTCTAGAAAAATCATATTGAACAATTCATTTCCAAATCCATGAAGATGGCACTGCTGCACTAATGAAAACTATAATTTATTTGATCCATTGTAAAAACATGTACTGAATAAAATTAAAACATGGCGCTGCTGCATTAATATTAGAATAGTTTTTATATGTAACATTATAAACTGTTGATTTGACCACTAAATGAAATCAGATAAGTATTATCTTTTTATTTCAACATATATATATATAAGATATTATGTTAATTTCGTAATCATAAACATGTTTGCCTTTTGTAACACACAAATTACCTAAACATGGATATTAAACAAAAACAAACCATATACGACATGATATACAACGAAGTATTAAAAAAGAATCGCGAAGTGTTTTACTTAACGCAATATACGATAAAGGCAAGAGCAATCAATATTTTATAATATATTACAGTAAGCAATAAAATTGTGGAACTCTCTACCTGAATCTATCAGACGGACGTAATTTTTGAAGTCCTTCAAATAATAATTAAAATCCCTTTTCCTGTGCACAGTTAGATTGCTTTTCCATTTTCTTTTCTCACTTCTCGCGCTTTGGTTGTCACTTGTGTTTTAAGCGTTTTGCGAAGTATCACTAAAAAAAGGACTTAAATCGATTGAGTACTTTTTACACAACTGCGCGACGCAAAGGAGGGTAATGTGTTTATCAGTCTATTTTAAGTGATACTTCGCTGTTACAACTGTTCTTCCGTTTTGTTTTGAATGATTGAAATCGTTGTTTTTTTTTCATCCAATGCAAGGTTGCCTGGAAAAAATCGCTGTCTAGCAATAAGGACGCCTTTAGTACGTTCTGGTGTAAATATGTCATTTTCTTTTTTTGTGTAATGAGGAAAATAAAACCAGATTTTCTTCCCGGTCTCACGAAGAATTATTTATATTCAATAATCTTTTTATTCTAATATTATAAAGAGGTAGGTTCCTTTTTTTATTTTAAGAGTGGTTTTATTTAGTAATGCGATCCGATCATGTCACGGGAAGCGACAATTTACGCGGGTGAAGTTGAAGGCAAACAACTACTATTCAATAAAGTCCGTGAAATTACTACTACTCAAAAATAATGTATTTGCATTTTAGGTTAATGTCGAAGGTTAATAAAGTTCGTCTGGTGAAACGTAAGTAATTAAACAAGTATTTATACTAACAATTATTTTATTATTTTTCAAACAACTAATATCGAACAAGAATTTAAGTACACCAATCACATCATATTGACATTACATAACAATTAACTAAATAAGCAAACAAATTTTTATGTCTAGTTACATTAAGTATTTATTTACAATCCAATGAAAGGTTTTAATGTAATAACAGAGTTCAATCATATGTATGAATGCCGTTGAAATTTCAACCCACAATTTAGGTCACAAATATACAGTGTTTTACTAAGTTCAAAAATACCTACATATTGAACTTAGTAAAACACTGTGAACTGTATAAACTAAATAAATTCAACTTTTAGAAAACATCATATTATCACAATGTATCTAGATATTTTTAACAGTAATATCAAAACTTGGTAATAGGATGAAAACAGAGCGATGGGTAACAGTAACATTCGAAACTGCAGACTCTGCAGGACAATTCCGTAAAAATCCAAATTCGAATTTACTCATGTGTCTGAATTCACGTCAATGAAGAAATTCTATTGATTCCATTTTTTGTATAAAAATACAAAACAAAACTGATAGATAATAGCGTCTCAGACTTATAGATAATATTCTATTCCTTTATCATTTCGAAACTCACTTCACTCATGCTAAGAAACGTTATTATCAATTCAAGATTGAGCGGATGCCGCTTTTTGAAGTAAATTCGAACACCTGAGAAAATTTCTAATTCGGGTTTCGATTTTTACAGAATCGCAGGACTGGGGTGCGAACAAACCAAAATGTTTGATAAAATATGTAAATAATAAAAAATGATTAATTTTAAAACAATATCAACAGATGTGTAAAACCTATAAAGCGTAGGTTATAGCTACGACTACGGCTATGTCCATGAGTTAGGCGATCGCGCCCCAGGTCTTCAAAAAAGAAAAGAAAAGATTTTACTGTATGAAAGTTAACTCCGAATGAATATAGACTTTTTATAGAAGTGGTGCCGCAAAAGAAGCTAGTCTATAAAATACTTATATTTCTACCAACAGCAAAATAAAATAAATAAAAAAAATACAGTGATATCTAATAAGATGTTGGTCATTACTTTTTTATAACCATCGCTTGAGTTGTGTGAGCTTAACAAAATTAGATATAGGTAGGTACTATAGACAAAATATACGTAGACCAAATCTAAACTATCTAAAGTGACTTGTTTTAATAATCTACTAAATCTTTGAAAGCATAAATTATTAAAATTAAGAAATATATATTAAACAATACTTAGAATTAACAATAATGTGCATAGTAAAATCTAGAAGTAATATACTGAAAACGAAACGTTGTATGTTGAATTTATATATTAGGTATTTAAAAAAATAGTCTACATTAATAAAAAAAATATATTCGTCGACTAGAAAACATTTAGAAATCTAAAATCGACATAAAAAAGCGTAACTAAATCTATTTGATTAGGAAACAATTTATTCCTATCGTATAATTGTTAAAATTAACAATTATAACTTTCATAATGTTAACATGGAACTGTTTTATTTTTTATGTATTTTTATCTGAAACTGACCGACAACAATCTCTCACAAAGATTGGTGGCATTTCATGTTCACTCCTAGGTGTCAGTACCCTAATCATTCGATTCCTGTACCAGCAGTGCCTGTAATTTAAGAATACAAAAATTTTAGGTTATAAATATTATTTTAAAAAAAATCTCTAACGAAGAATGAAATCCATGGAATTCTAGAAATATGTACGTTCTAAAAACATCTTTAATTCTTATCATTTAAGTTTTGAAAATCTTCATAGGTTCTATTATTTATTCGTTTTTCAGTTGTTAATTTTTGCTGGTACAAGTGAAACTCGTAAGAGAATTAGTTCCGACTGTCAGATCAGAATAAAAAATATCAAAATTAAAATATTTAGCATGGATCATCTTTTATGTGATGTAAGTAAATAATATGGACGGATTATTGACAAAATTTTAATGCGAACCCCATAGAAAAGGGATATTTATTGCAAGCAAATAATTTAAGAATAAAAAAATAATAGGGTTAATATAATCAAATTCTAAATAAATACTAACATAAAAACAAAAAAAATAAGATTTTTATTATATTCTCTTAAAATGTGTGTCATAATCATAATTTTATTGTGCAATTATTTTATTACATATACATAATTTAATAAAATAAAGACAGTTTTAGTCCTTTATTATATACAAATAAGAACTTTTTAAGATTTTAAAGAATTATTTACACAGACCCGGCCTACTTTGTTTACTATGACTAATCAATCCTTACGATACATTCAGTCCCAACAAATTTATCATTTTTTACAACACCTAAAAATTTCACTGGCTGTGATATTTTCATAGCAATTCTGTTCCTACTTATGAAAAATGTGATAACGATTCTAGCAAATCATTTTTAAATTTGAAGATGTGAAACAAGCCTTTAATATTTTTATACTCAGTAAAAAACTAACGATATAGGTGTAACTGTCATAATTATTAAATAATGAAATTAAAAAATCGACATACCATACGCTATCTAACAACAATATTTAGAAAACTTCACCAGGATCGGTCGTAAGTCTTTCTCATTCTTCAAAAGATGTGTATATAATACACTAGACACTACAGGCTATCAATAAACAAAGTTTAGCGTCAGAGTAAATTTACGCTGTAATCGCAATTTTAGTATCAGTCCAAATTCATATTATAGAGAGAATAGCAAACATACTACCTGGGAGTAAATATTACGTAGAACCTCGTATTAGGTTAACCTTTGCCAAGTCTGTTCAATAATATGAATTTTGACTAATACTAAGTGCAGTCTCAGCGTAAATTTACTCCAACACTAAAACTTGTTTATTAATAACACTGTATGGGTTAATCAGGGTTACATAAAGTTTAAAATAGAAGCTTTGAATCTTCAGCTCTCAGAGACAATGAGAAATATACAGATTATGGTCCGATTAGAACAGCGATCTTCAATTTCAATTTAAAGGATAGAGGTTGCAGAATTAGTCTTCAATCCTAAGCTATACCTAAAGTATACAAAATGGCGTGACTGAATCGAAAATACCATATTATACAACTTGTACGGTAGCGAATGCGCTAAAAGTAACTTTCTTTGGTGGTTCCGCACTACAAGTCCTGACTACAGAACGCTTTGTGCCATCATGTACGTTCGTTTTTAAAACAGGTTTTAAATTTGCAACATCACCGTGTGATTGCGCCTTAAACCTCCCTATCGTGTTGCTAGGAGTACCTAAATCCCTTAGCTTATTGGTCAATCCTGTTATCCTATTGGATATGTTCGAATAGTTTGTCTTCTTGACGTCGTTCTGCCTCTTCGGTTCGCTTAATTTCTTCGGTATTTCTAAGCTTTGCAGCGAAGTGAATTTTCTATGGTCAGTATTGAGGAAGTTCCTCTTTATTTCTGGATTCGGACGCGGGAGTCTAGGCGGTCTTTGGAGGAAGTTGTTAGGCCTGAAAGGGATAGGAGCTGGTTTCGATTTCGGTTCACTAGGTAGACGGTAGTATTGGGGAATTGGGTCGATTCTTTGCGGCTTTTTGAGGGTAAGCGCCATTGCTATCTTGGTGGGGCGGGCCAGGCTGTCGAACGCTGTCGTCGAGAATTGAGAGCGGCTCGTCTTCCATTCTTCGCGGTCAGACTCGTAGCCGGTGGATACTGGAAACGTAAATAAATTATTATGAGATGGGTGCTTGATAATAAAGTTAGAGCAGAAGTACACATATCTAACTGGACGATGGAAAGGCAGATTAGGCATTGATTCGTATGCCAACTCTGATAAAATTTACGTAATAATCTAAATAGAATCGCAACTAGTTGCATTTTGTAATTGTACATAGACTTGAAGTACAATATATATCTGTTATATATATATTATATATCTGTCACCATTGATTTGTAAGGAAGTCACTGATAATATTAAATGTCAGGTAGATAGTACAAAAGCAAAATGCAAATAGTTCAGATTCTATTTAGATTGAATCCCGGATTTGACCTAGCTATGAGCCCGTCTGAGGCCGTGCGGAAGGTTTTTTTAAATTTTTGTCTGAGAGGAATACAAAGTGAAACAAATTTTCACAAAAAAGAAACAATTTTTACTTTAAGCTTAATTCGTAATCGTTAACCGCATCAAAGCTTAATCCGGCGCTGCAAAATGTCGAAAACAGCCAACAACCGATTTTGATTAAATAATTCGTAAATTAAATCAGAATCATCTTTATTATTTTTATCCTAAAAAACTGGTGTTCGGGTGTCCGGACAAAAACCTAAATGTCCGGATTTTTTAAGATTACGTCCGGCGTCGGTAATTTAGCTAATGGCAGCCCTAATTAAGCATTTATAATAAATAGAGGGTGAGTTTTTAATCGGTGTACAACTTCATATATGTATGTAGTTGAAGTATCGAAAGTAAAAAATATTTAAAAAGAAATCTTTCATCTAAGTAATCATAATAATATAATAATAACTGTATTTAGTTATAAATATTAATAATAATCAGTGAAAACATTGCAGATCTGTATTTTATTACTAAACATCGGTAGTTAATATTATATCATAAGTAAAAACGGCGTGTTGGTACGCTGCTTTGCTCGTACTCAGTACACGAGCAAACCGCCGTACGAGTTGCCATTTCTGAAGTCATGGGTCGATTCCCGGTCGGGTCAATATACTTAGAAAATGCCCTTTTATATATTACCTCGAGTTTGGCTTCTGCGTTACCTTTATTTAATGAGATTTTGTATAAAATTTATTATATTTAAAAATTTACAATTAATAAAAGTAGTTACTTATTTCTTGATTATTTTCCTGTGTGCCTGTGTTGCGTGTTTAATAAACTTGTGTGTTTATTAAACACGCAAGTTGTTACATCTTGTTACATAAAAAACATGGTGAATTCAATCCATGTTTGTTTTCGCAGTCGACCTGCATACAAAACACACGTTTATACGAGACGCTAGCCTGATCAAGAGATAACCTACTATTTAGATACATTGCTGCAAGAATTTAAAATGCAATTGTGCTACGATAATGCGCTTATATGTCATTGTTTGAATTTGAATTCAGAAACCTTGACATTGCGGTAGGAATGGCTGCATGATAAACAGAATAGAAGTTCTTGTTATGCGGTATTATTATAATGATCACGATGTACTAAAAAAATAAAAGGAATATCGACCTGCGACTCGACTGTCTGATTTTATTTCGAGTTCGACTTCAAAAATCGAATTTTGAAAACATTCATCCTATATTGTCACTGGCCAGCGGCCATGTATCTAGTATCGTTAGTCTTGGTGCGGGCTATAGAAATTTTAAATAAAGAACATTTTTTTAGTTTGTGGCTAATTTATAGCCTGGGGGAAATGTTACTTGTCCCTAGGTTTTGCGTGAAATAAAAGTCGACGGAATAAAAGGTGGACCGTTGAGTGCGTCTTTTGCTATTGGTTTTTATGATAACTTGCTTTGTGTTTTTGTATTTTTTCCTCGTAAGTGTGGTACCTATAAACAAGTGTTATATATTCCTAGAGGACAAGCACCTTTAAATTACCTACTCAACTCGTATAGTTTAAGACCCTCTGCTTCGCGTCGGCTCTTAAATGTACGTTAAACAATCAATGCCTTATCCCTTAGTGAATAAATTTCCATTACCGCAGATTGCTAAATTACTTTTGAATATGTTTTTGTATCGAACAATGTACCTAATATTTGCAGTTAAGATAATGGTATGATTTTTTTTACTTGATTTTTTTTTGCATAGAATAGCCTTCATATTATTCTGACCATCTATCTACACTCTGTGATATTATAATACTTCACTCTATATTTAGTTAAATTATCTATAGGTAAATTACACAATTTTTTAACCTTTGAACTGCACTCGGAAGATAACCTTGATATCATTATGAGATGTTATAAGATGTACCTACTGACACATAAAATATGCCTGGAAGCGTTTCTTATAATTACATTTATTATTAAAATTATAATTACAGACGTATATTGTTGAATATGGTATAGAATCTAGATTACAATGATTAATTGCAATTGGCGTCGTAATAAGTAGACTGACATTTTGGTTAAAAAACAATTGACTTGTAGCATTTCATATCATATAGAGTCTTCTTTGTTCTATTGTAACTATTGAATTAAAAGTGTAGTGATTGTTTGATAGGAATATCATTTGTTACAAAGTTCAAGAATCATTACAAAATATTACCAAAGTTTGTCACGGTTTAGTTTATTAGATGCGAGTTGAAATACAAAATAGTGAGTTCGAGTAATTTTTAATTTTATTCATTTATATTATAAAAACGGATCAAAAACCACCGCTCTCAAAAAAACCTACTAAATTACACGACGAGCTGAACATAATTATAAGTATTATTAATTTTGATGATAGTTATACAATAATATTGAATTACGAATTACCCATTAAGAATCATCAAATGAACTTTTTAGAACGTTGACATAAAATGTTCAGGATATTCTTCAGATTGTAAACAAAGAGGACAGTATCGGTGGTAACCATAGATTTGCACTGCACTATTACTGCCAAATAGTCTTGCGGATTTGGCTCCCATATGATTATTAGAACGCGTTTTAGAATATTAAATTATAAAATAAATTATAATTAAAAAATAAATTAAAAAACGTTTTTATCTGGTTAAAAAGTGCAGTTTTTGAATATTAAATTTAACTAGTAGGTATTTTTTTTATTTGTGAGATATCTTGATTAATTCACATCATACAGTTTCTTAGGTCTTTCGTACCTTTTTTTTAACTTTGAGTAAATGAAACTTTAAACTTTAAAGCATGGCTGTCCCGTCCTGAAAATGAGCCAGCTAACCTGGGAAACCCGCTACGAGTACCCTCGATCTCGAACCCGGGATCATCCAGCCAAACAGGTCTCTAAGATAAGGGTAGGCAAATCGCAGGGGGTTTTGTGTGGTTTTTGTGGAAACCCACCACACATCCCCTGTCGTTTACCAGGCGCAGATACATTCATATAATGTCTTAGACATTTCCTCGATAAAAAAGTACACTATTCATTAAAACCTGGTATTCTTTCTCAAGTAAGTACCTCTAGCATTTATAATTATTATCAATCTACTTAATGAATATTATGTTTCGGTCTCACAGTATACAGTGGCAGTAGTCATCCATGAAGGGCAGGTTGCTATTAATCTCGTGCATATCATTTTACTATACGCTTCCGTAATACTCGTCGTAACGCTCATTGAAACCTGTCAAATGTGTCAATAAGTCTTGTAAGAGATGTATTGCTTAATAATTTGATGAAAAAAATACGTAAAAACATGATTATGCAAGTAGCAGATTGTTACGGCAAACGCTAATACTATTTTTACGCAAATAGAACCAAGCACTGCAAGCCTTAGAAGGGATAAAGGCTCAGTTACACGCTCGATATTCCGCTGACCATCAGCGGAATGCATGCCACCTCATCCATAATAAATGCGAAAGTAACCTTAAAATTTGGGAAAAGAAATAAGATATTCTCAATGAAAAATTCTTAAAAATCCACTTGGCTACTGGCACTCTGAGACGGGATTCGAAACTATGACCTTTCGCAATCCGGGTGATGCTCTAACCGCTGAGCTACCCAGGACCTAATAGGACCGAAGAATCTTTCAAGCACTTAAGTTACTTTTCTGCTTTTTTTCATTAAGAATACTTTTCAGTATTATCGCGTAGAATTAGCATTCCACGCAGGCGAACCGCTGGCGCAAAAGCGTTGGTAAATCAATAAAGCAATGACTGTCTATACTTTGACGTCAACGACCAATGTAAATGAGCTGAAACAAAACGTTTCTTACTTTTTGAAGTTGGTTTTAGAACTTTTTATTTTCAATGTTTATTTTACAATTATAATCAAGTAGATTGACATACATTCGAATTTATAGTCGAGATAAGTAATTACTTGAGAAAATAGTCATACCTTAAGCAAATATTTTAAACTCATAGACGTGAATTTGAATGGAATGTTAATAGCTATAAAATTGTACCCTATTCTAATTATAAACATCGCTTTTTTCGTTCGTTATTTTTGTATATTTGATAATAATATTTGCTTAAGTTACAAGATATTCTCAAGTTATTACTTTTCTCGACTATAGATACGGATACGAGTGTGGAAGTCTATTACAAGTCATTGTCATAAACAGACTCACTAACTCACTATTGAGGTAAAGTGGATGGCAATCACATTTACGGCGTTTCACATATATGCGGTTGCATAAATCAGAAATGTGTTATGGTTTACTAGTCACAAAGTATTATCTTGTAAGTAAGAGTTGTAACAAAATATGTATACTGGAAGTATTCACAATGCTCATGCAATTTAAGCTAACCACTTGGATAGTGGAAACCCTCAGAACAGAGACAATAAAGAACATATATAGAAAAATTTGTCTGTCATCGTCAATTTGCTTTATAAGGCCAGTGGTTTAAAACAAAGTACTAACTTTAGTGCTCGTTTTATAATTAGAAGTATAAGTTGTTTGGATTGGCACTGCCACATCTGCTGGATTAGCTAACACAAAGTATACTCTAGACGTATTAAACATAGTCACTGAAATACAATAGAGCAATTCTAAATAGTGTGACACGGAGTGATTAGGTAAGGTTTTATTTAGATTCGA